GCATTTGTTTAACCCAACATAAACACATTTTTTTGTATGTATTATTCATAACTCCATTTTTAAGCATTTGTTTAACCCAACAAAAACACATTTTTTGTATTTATTATCCATAACAAGTTGTAAGCATTTGTTTAACCCAACGTAAACATTTTCTTTTCGTATTTATTATTCATAACTCTATTTGTAAGCATTTGTTTAACCCAACATTTACACATTTTTTAAAGGAAAGAATGCCTTAGTGCGGGAGTCTCTGAACCTAAAGCTTATAACTTATTCTAAATACAAACAACGAAAACACTAATGGTCGAGTGGTTTTAGCATGGTACGTCAGGGTTTAATTTGGTCGACATAATTTGAACCGCAAAAAGCTTTTAAGCTAAATATTAAAATAGGTTAGTATACTTAATAATTAAATTGTTTCATAAATATTTTATATAATATAAATCAGCCAATATATTTTACTTAGTTGACAAATATTTTTTTTTAATGATTTTAGGTACTTTTATACCTTTCACAAATAACGAAGTATGTTAACCATTTTGTAAACATAGAAAACCACATGAAAACCCATAGATTTAAAACTATGTAATCATGACTTATTTATTTCAAAAGAGTTACATTAATAACTCATGTTTTTAAGTAAAACCTTCTATCATATTGATCTATCATCTATACTATTATATAAAAATCTAATGGTGTCTGTCTGTATGTGTATTACGAATAGGTGCAAAAACTACTGAACCAACTGGGCTTAAATTATACAAAAATAGAGCTACCATATACCAAGGACCATTATAGGACTATTCACATTTCGATACTGACCGTAGGCTTTGCCCCTTTGGCTTTAAAAGTTCTGAGGTGAACATTTTAAAAGTAAATATTGATTGGTCTCCATGGCTGTGATAAGAAAACTAACAATGTTTGTTTACAGTTGCTTTGACATTTAAATGTAAACAAGAAGAACTGCTAAACTGAATATTTCACAGCTTCAGACAGCTGATACAAAGAAATTAAATATAATATTTTCCATAACTATGAGGTAGGTTTATTTTAATCTAACCTTTTATCATGGATTATTTATTCTAAAACTATGTCAATAACTATAGAAAAAAATGCTATAACCGTTGCTGTATTAACTCCGGCTCTGCTTTGGATTTTTTAAAGCGTCTAAGTTATGAAAATAATGTTATTGTTGTGAGTGAAGAAACTGAAGATGGAAGGAATTGTGATTTAAGATAAAAAAAGTTAAATTTAAAAAAATGTTCATTTCAATTTAATAGTTAGTATTTTTGCAACTTCAAAATTGAAATTTAAAATGTCAATAATAAATTAAAAGATATGTAAGATGAAGGTAAATCATGTATGTCAATGTTTTATTCGAAGATTTGGTGAGTTTTTCTCATATCAGCCTTCACAAGATTTAAAATTAATCAAAACCAAAATGGTGGTATCCACTAAGTTAGCAGATTTAAAGGCGAACGTTTCTATTAAGGCTATAAAAGTAAAATTTTGTTTCTAAAAGCGTTGGCGGATGTGTAACTATTATCTAACAAAAAACCACTAAGTGGTAACACTTCCCCCGCCAAGTCAGCAACCCAAAAAAGACAATAAATCACCACTTTTCCGCCAAGTAAAACAATGTAATGTATGTAAGTTTGGCAACTTGGCGGCAGACTTTTGCTTGTTTTTTTTTTCATTAAAGTTACGTTGGTGGATAATTTCACAAATCAACTTCTCTAATTAATTAGTCCAACTAAGTATAATAATTTCGAGGTAATCAGTAAATATAAAACCATCACTATTATGATTTTATGAAATGTGACACAAATAAGGTCAAATTTTGTAAAATAAGTTCTCATCTAGCAATGTACTATTGGGAGAGATACTTGCTCAATGAAACTAATTTTATGGTATTTTTTAAAGTGATCAAGCAAAAGTCTGCCGCCAAGTGGCCAAACTTACATACATTACATTGTTTTACTTGGCGGAAAAGTGGTGATTTATTGTCTTTTTTGGGTTGCTGACTTGGCGGGGGAAGTGTTACCACTTAGTGGTTTTTTGTTAGATTGTATTTATTTTTGTAGAAAATTAACAGTTAAAATAAAAATCCTCTTTTCTCTTATATATAGACCAGGGCACAACTACACATAAAATGCATTGGTGTTACATAAGTGTTCCGATAATTAAACCCGTATATCTAAAGACTAGTGTAAATTGAGCCCTTATTAGAGAAGTAAAAATGTAATCAAACAGATTAGGTTTGTTAGAAATAGCATAAGGCAAAACAAATATTGAAAAACTCATTTTTATCCTAAATTTACATACCACTTTTTACATTCACTTTTTTGCTTGTTTAACATACGTAGACGGATTTTCCCGATTGTTTTATTTGTTTTAGTGTATCAAAACATAAAACTAACCTTATTTAGTTAAATAAATTTTGGCAATATTATGAAGAAACAATGTTAAAACTAACCTTAGTACTAGTACTAAGTTTCAAGTTCCTAGGTTTCATATGTTTTGATAAGTAGTATTAAACTGTTAAAAATGACGAGCTGCTGTACCAGTGTACCATCGGTACACTGCATTTTTCAATGGAAAGTATCGGGGAATATCACTGCTCTAAGTAATTTTATATAGTAAGTAGCTCAAATCATTCGGTATACCTGAAAAAAATACTTTATAAAAGTTTTAAAATAATTTTTCAGCTGATCCTATGAATTTCTCTAACATTTTAAATTAATTGAGATTTAATCGCAGCTGATCCTTCTTTTGTTTTGATTTTAATCCCATGTTATTTAAATGGGCCAAAATCGTACTTTGAGGGCTTGCCAAGGGTTTATGGGTCAACGCACCGACTTGTGACCCTCAAAAGGCACATCTACACGCTAAGGGCTTTCAAACAACATAAAAAACATTAAAATTGAGCCAGTGGTTTGGGCTGTAGGTCCGTCAACATTTAAGGAGAAGAAGGAGAACACGGAAAATTTGTGAATTTTCAAACTAGTTTTTCTTGGCTCAAACACGACCTTTTTTTAAATTCTTTTTTTTATTTTGCCAAGAATGATTGCCCCTATCCAGTGGATGAACAATTATTTTAATAGCTTTTGTTTCTTCAGAGCTATAGACGAGTAAAAAAGCCACTTTGTCACGTCATGTATATATACACTGCAGCAGCTGTGTACCGCTGGGGGACTTGGCGGGGCGGAACGCTGCCGCGTTCCTTAATATTCAACAGGTGTAAAGATTAAAATGTTTCTATTTTGTGTTCTCTTCCCGTTGCAAAGCACGGGTACAACAGCTAGTAGATTGATAATAACCAAGTGAAATGCTAACACTTTTGCAAAGTTTAAAATAGGATGTCATCTTTTTTATTGAAAGCAAACCATATTTACTGTGCATATTCATCAAAATTATGTTAAGTTAAACTTGTGTTACTATAAAAGTTAAAATTATTGTATCCTCTTGTGCGTTGACTATATGGCTACTTAGATAGAATATACGTTTTTGTGTTGTTTTTTTAATCGTTTAATTGATAATAACTTTTGAACAATGAAGTTACCTGGGATTGAATTTTCAAAGTTGTTTAAAAAATAAACAATAGTAGGCTATAGTATTTTTTGTAGGGTAGTTTTTTTCTAAGGACTTTTTCACTTTCATTCACATATTCTGGATGCAATCTTTTTGAATGCGTGATAGAATATACATGATGACATTTTAATAACTATGATGACAGAAACTTTTTTGTAATCAAAGCATTACACATCGTCAGCTTAAGTCTTTGATTCTCATGCCATGTATCTCGACTTTGGTCTTGTACAGGGAAAAAAGATGATATATTTGTATTAATTTTCTAACTATCTGATAGATTATCTTTAATCTATTGTTAATTTATCATCGTAATCAAATCACCAATCAAAGACTATTAAATTTTAGTAACAGTAAAAATACGTTTTACAATCAAGACTTTGTGTTAATCATCAATTATCTGTCGGTTATAGTTTTTTTGGGCAACAGACCCGCATTAACACAATACTAAAAGGGAATATATAGCTCAATATACATTTCCTTAAGTCTTGGTAAGGACCCCTTCGTTTCAATACCATTAAAATTGAGAAAACGAATATATTAAGAATATTATCATTCTCTACCCCTGTAATTTGTGTTCTTCTTTCAGGAGCCTAAAAGTTTAATAGCTCTGCACTTAATTACTCTTACTCCTGGCCATAGCCTACTGGCCATTGAAATTTAAGGCAGTCTTAGGCCTCGCCTTATGTGCCTCCAGGATCCTCTTTCTTCTGCCAGCTCCAGGTCTGCTCCCATACTCTTTTAAGTCCTTCGTAACCTCCATCACATCCAATGGTCTCCTGCCCTCCGAAGTACCTCTTACTTGCTTTACCATCTCTCTCTCTCTCTCTCTCTCTCTCTCTCTCTCTCTCTCTCTCTCTCTCTCTCTCACACACACCTCTGTGTTGAATGTGGTTCAACCACCTCAACCTTCTACTCTTTGTCACTCCCACAATAGTATTTATGGTAGGAGAGGATTTTATGGAGAATTGAAATGAAATTGAAAATTTTAATTTATATGTGAGTGTGATTGTATTTGTGATTAGTTGGGTACATGTGAGTGAGAGAGTTAATGTTAGTTGAGGGTTGGTGTTTGTTATTGTAATAGAAAGTGAGAATGAAAGAGAAATGGTGTAAGAAGAGGGGTATTGAAAGAGTGAGAGAGAATGAAAGAGAAAATGTGGGATGAAGAGGGTTTTGAAAGAGAGAGAGATCTCTTTCTCTTGATCTGGTTCCCTATGTAATTTCCTCAACTCTACTTTTCTCATTCTTTACTATTCCCCGTCTTTTAATGGTCGGTTATAAGTTTTTTTGTGAAAGACCAAGTCTATAAACCCTATTGCACTACAGATTGCACTATGGTTATATGAATTATTATTTTCTGTCGTTATTTTACATACTGTAAATTTACAAATCGCTCAAAAGTTTGTTACCTTTTTCTGTTTGTATTTGATGGCCAACTTGAGCCTGTCCAAGGTCTGGCGCTCGCCGATCTCCCAAGGTTCTATGGACTCTGGGTCATAGTTGAGCATGATCTCCAGTTCGTTGCTGGTCCGAGCGTGGTCCAGGAGGGAAGTAGCGAACTCCTGAGTCTGCGCGCGCATTTCCTGCAAACAAATGTTAAATTGTATCAAGTAGTAAAATTTTGGGAGGATATTTTCAGGATTTTGGAGAAGAGATGTGATGAAAAGTTAATTTGCTATAAACGTTGAAGAAGACGAAGGAAAAGAAAAAGGATAAGGAGGAGGAAAAGACGTGGAAGAGTTTGTTTTCTTTTAAGATAATTTTCAAGAGTTCAAAATGTTTAAAGTTAATAAAATAGGTTGTATAGTTTCGTGAGGCTTTTTGAATAAAAATTGGAGATGTAGAAGAATATTGTAAATTCATTACATGGAACACAGTATTACAGTTTGCATTTAGTTTACGGATTAGAATTAATTCTTCTAACTTTTATGATAAAGTTTCGTAAATAAAGCTTAATGTTCACTGAGCTCCTTGTAAACTGTTATATTTTAAAACCTATTAAAGTTTTACAATATACATTCTTGACTCTAAAAAAATCCAGAAACTTCATCGATATTTGATTTTACACTCACATTTTGAACTGTTGGAGGGTAATTTATTAAACATACTCACTTTAAGATTAAAAATCCCTAATTAAGATCACTTTTTAGGTTTATTCTTTTACACTTTTTAAAACGTTAATTTAAAATACTATACCTAAAAAATCAAATAGACGTACCAAAACGATATCTGTATTCTGAAAGGATGCCAAATGCACAACTAAATATTATATTTGAAATATGATGAGAAGTCTACGTGCAGTATCTATAGTCAATAAAGTTTCCAACAAAATATTTAACCATCCTCATAAAACTGTAGATATTACATTCCTATTTAAAGATAGCGCAATTTTACTGTGCTAAATAACAGTTACGTTCTCAGCCATGACAAAGCAAGCCCTGCTACCTGTTACATGCTAAAGTAGAATGTATGGCCACATGTTCATCATAACAGAACAGCTGATATAGTGGTGCTATTGATCATTGGACCTCAACTGAATATTACACGTTCGCAAACTATGATGAATACGAGTATTTTTTGTACCGCATGTTGCTCTGTGTTTTATGGTTTGTGTTGAATACTTAAACCTGAACAATACTTTTATGTTTTTCCAATTTTGGTAGCCTATTCTATTTTTCTAGTCTTAAGGATTTATGCTTGTACAAGTTACCACGAGGTTAATACTTTTGATGTGAGACATTTAAAGAAAAGTTCTATAGAGACTGTTTCCTTCACCTATGGGGTCTCTTTTTCCTTCATAGATGGATAACTATACAGGTTAAAGTTGACTTCAATACACTAACAGCTAAAATCTATTGGTAAATGTTAGGATTTGAACCGGGCACCCTAGGGCTGAATTCCCGCACCCTAAACACCAGACAAGATACACAAGATGCCACAGATATACTTCTTTAATACTTTTTCTTTAATTTACACAAGATTCTTCTTTAAATATACAGGGAGTCTTAGAACAACCTGCACCAAAGAATAGTGGATTTTGGCTGGCATCCAAAAACAAAGTTTACCAATTTGGACATGAGCGAAAAGTGAGATGAGATTTTCTGATATGAGTTTAAATAATGTTTTAAGCCTATGTATTGTTCACTGTTTGTATGATGCAAGGAACTAATCAACTTTATTTTATTAGCGAATTTCCCTATAGGGAAGTAGCTATTACCGTAAGTCTCATGGTAAGACCTAGGCCCGGGACCGATTTACTTTTTCATTTTGATGTCTCAGAGGCCTTTTCCCATTTTTGACCCTAAAAACGCAAAATTTCACAATTTCTTTCTACACCATTTTGTAGAGCTTAAAAAACAAATAATTTAGTATATTGAAGCGTTATTATGCGCCTATTTGTTACGGATAAAATTGAAAAAATGTTTATTTTAAATTCCCATGTTATTCTTATGGAGAATAAGTCAACTGTTGTAGTTTGCTTATTTATGAACATATTTTGATAAAATTTGGAAAGTATATTAATTTCTTACTAAACTACAGTACCTTTTAACATTTTACATTAAAAAAAACTTTTTTACCCTCCCTGTTGCAGCAAACCTAAGTACTCATTAAACTAATTCTGTTTGAATAGGGAATAAATGTGATATTTTTAAGAAGACATTTTAGTGTAAGTCCAATCAGGCAAATGGAAATTTGCTAAGTCTGCAGGTTTGCTGCGGCGGGGGTATTTAACTGGCTGGGGCTCTTAACAGTCTTCTTCTGAAAATGTTGTATGTGTGGTTCGCCCCCTCTGGTATTTCGTCTTTCGGGAGTAACAAAAACAATCCCTTCATTGTCATTGCTATTGGTGGTTGGCTTCGATTCTACTCTCTCTTTTGTAAAACCTCCCTTTTCCCAGCCCTAGACTCTACTGGATTTTTTGTTGGAGGTTTTCGCACCAGGGAATCATTTAACCCTGGGTATAAAGCAAATGTTTTTTCACGTTTGTTTGTGTCATACTTCACTTCCCTCAAATACATATAGAATAATAAAGTGGAATACAAATCAATTAAAATATAAAAACATACATACCTCAATACAAATATAGACATTTCACATAATTAAAACATTACTACACATTCCACATCTTAAACCCACTATTGCATGTAACCCAACCTAGTCCATCAATGATTCAAGACAAAACAGCCTGAGGAGGAAACTGTGGCTTTACTAAACTATTTTATTTCTCCTGACCAACTTAGTAATTAGTTTTACTTGCGAAACTGCTACCGACACAGTGTGTAACTTAGCCTAACTGCTAATAATTTATCTTTGCTATAGTTTTGATATAAGAGCGGGACAGTGGCACTAAAGAATTTGAAGTGTAGTCAAGTTAAATAGTCTCAAGTGATTTTTTCGTCAGAGCTGAATTTCAACTACTCAAAAGTCCACGCCTTGGTTGGAAAATGACCGAAAGCGAATTGCCTTCCAAAATTGTTCTTACATCATACCACTATAAAAAAAAAAAAAACATCCATTACTGTTTAGACAAAGTATGTATTAAATACTGCTCTATTTTCCCATTAACAACTGTCGATATTGTTTTTAAATATACTACGTGGCATGGTGATATGCACAAAATAACCTTAGTAACGATTCGATGATGCCGGATTGACTGGAACTATCTTCTTTTACAAAATCAGCGGGAAAATCTTTAACTTATAAAAAGTAGAGAAGAACGAAATTATTTAGACATAACCTATACTAATTAAAACGAATTTGTCCTAAGTGATTGTGGTAAGCAAATACTCGTATAAATTTGAATTTCGCTCTGAAACTCAAAAAGACAATATTTTCTTTATAGCAAACATTGAAAACCTCCATCAATTACCCTTTGCTACAGTAAATCTGAGCTAAAACCTTTAGGATGAATCTTGTTTACAACTTAATTTGGCCGAACAAGTTTGTTTTCGAACTTTAAACGTTATGAAGCAATGTTTTCCAGCGAGAATCGACAATTATTAAGTTTTCTCTGTTACAACGAAGCATGGATGAAGCTGTAACTGAATACACTTTATTGAGAACTTTCCCAAGTGTCAATACAACTTTCGAAAATGAATCCTTGTTGAAAACTTTCAAAAAAGCTCTGATGGTGTGTAAAATGCAAATTGTAGCAAGCAGGAAATTTAAAATAGTTACTTAAGGGTTTAAGAAAGTGTTTGGAGAATTTCTTCCTCTGGAATTTCCTTAATGGTTAATTTAGGTAATATCCGGAATAACATTGCTTTTTGAAGTAGCTTAACGCTACAACTTATTGAATTAAAGATTATGTACATTTAGTCCTTGCCTTTGAAAAGGTCTAAAGGGTATGGTACTGAATTTAAGGTTTTCAAATACTTCATTCAAATATTAAATTCTTTAAACACACTATAGCGAAATTCTCTCATCCAGCACAAGCTATTGATTATAATTAGATAGTTTTATTTTGCTGAACTAGTATTTTAATAATAAGAAAAGAATAGTTAACAAAAACTAGCGGCACCGGACGGATGTAACATTTAAATTGTCTTCAGCTGATCCATAAAGATGACAAATCTACTTAGGGAATTTGTTAAATCCATGGTTTAATTGATTGACCATTATTTTAATCAGTTAACGATTAAAGGTTTACTACGCCTTTATATAGACTCTGATCTATGTTCTAAAATGTTGAAACTACACGGATTATTACCAAGTACAAATGTAAACACACAAACTGTACTAACCGCAATGGAAATAATCAACCAACTGTTAAATGGTTAGGTCTACTAACTCAACGAAGGGATTTAAGGATATAGATATGGCTTTCTCTAATAAAAGGCCACGATGTTGGTATGTGGAACCGTCGCGTCGGCCGACCAACTTTGTAATAACAGAAATACAAACTAGTAAACATAAACATTGCGCAATAACTACATTATGAATTAGTGCAACGCGGTGTTGCCACTTGCCGCAGCCTTGTATTAGACGAGGCCATGGTATAGGCCGATTTGTAAACTGGGGTCTTGGTCTATCTTAGTGTAAAATGTGACGAGAACTTTATAGGAATACTTCACTCACATTGTACTCCGCCCGGAACTCCGTCTCCATCTTGGAGAGTCTTCTCAGTTCCCAAGAGAGCTCGAAGGCGGTGAGGAGAGGATCACGGGAGGAGAGAGCGATGAGGGAAGGGGAGGTTAATGCTCTGTAAGCGTTGATCCTGGACTGCGAGTGACGTAGGGAGTCCTGCTCGCTGGAGACGACGCACTCGTCACAACCGCACCTGCAGACAAGAACATCTTTTGATGAGAGAACGGATTGATACCATTTTAAAAGAGTTTCATGGAGGAGAAAGTCAGGGGAAACATTATGGAAGTCAACAATTGTTGTTCTTGCGTGGTATTTGGAAGGTTTGAAAATGCACACACAATTAAGCAGTATAGTGTGAGTCTAACGAAGAGTTATGAAACCAATTTCGAGAGTGAGACTCATCATTGAAAACTTTATTGCTGTTTACTATCTTGACGACATTCTTAATTGTATTTTGAAAGCCTTTATGGCCGTTGCATCAATCGTATCATTCTTCTCCCCTTCTCTTATATTTGAATAATCAATAATGCACTGGGATGAAAATGTCGAATTGTAGAAGTTCGGGAAACTTTTATAAAGCTTAAATAATGGAAGAGGTTATGATACAACAGCCAAGTATAGAGATTTTCTTAACTATGTCGCTAAATTAGGCAATGCCTAAAGGAGATGTCTTACAGAAGTTGTGAAGATTCTCGGGAACCATATTTGGTAGAAAAGGGTTAAAAACTTTTTAATATATGAAAAAACTGCAATTCCGGGATGATTCTGAGAATTATAAACATGGACACTCTATTCGTGCCCTAGGATCTTACTTTTACATTGTAGGACTATTTATCGATTATACCACGAACAAATCTAAAATATATCAAGTCAGAGGGAAAGAAACGTCATGATTACCAATCTTATAAACACGCCAGACTATTTTTTTGTTCTAGCTAAAAAATATTAGGTTCAATATTTGTATGCAACCATTGTGTAATTTCCTTTTGATAAATGTGACGTGGAAAATATATGTTTATACTTTTCTAGTCATAAATTCAATTTTTGCCAAACCTGCAGCAAGACATTTCAAAATTAATGTCATTAAATGCATTCTCGTTTTCTACGAGGTAACCAACACTTATGAACCTCCCCTCCTCAAATCCTTCATGTCTTATAAGTTTTACTCCCACCAATCTCCCAGTCGTCTACTGACCTGACATCGTGCGGCATGGGCAGGGAGGCGCCTCTGTCCAGAAGGATCTTTAGGATCTCGTAGTTATTCATGTGAGCGGCGAGAACCAAAGGTGTTATGTCTGGAGTGAAGTTTGAAGTTGATCGGTCCACGGCTTCCCAGCTCTGAAGTACAAAACAAACTTCAGACAGTGATGAAGTTGGACACTCAAAGAGTATAAGGTGTTGCACGGAATTTAGAAACTTCACATACTGAATATGAATATTTAGTGGATGGTTGGGTAATGTTAGGGAATTTTTGAGAAACTAAGGAGTCAACTAAAGTAAGTTTCCCATGGTACAATGTTTTTTCCGGGAGTAGTAGGAAATTCTTTTTGTTAAGGAAAGCCTTAAGAAGCTATTGAAGTCGTCGGAATTGTTTATAAACGCATTGGTATATCTATATTTTTAGCTTAACAATGGCTAGGTTTTCGAGTGGATCGTCTAATGGTAAAACAAAATATATAGTAACGGGGACCCTTTGATATCGTTTTTCAACTTTAACAATCATTTTAAGAGTTGTGTAGATTCGGAGAGTTATCTTTTAGCTGTCTTAATTGGTTCGGCCTACCAAAATTAATAAGGTAGAACCATAGTTTATGTTCATAGCAGGATAGCCGTCATTTTAATTAAAATTATTAAAAATATTTAAGATGTTTCGCAAAAATAGGAAAGACAAGTATTTTAATTACGTTAAGAGATGATTAAATTAATGTCATGGTATTATTTAAAAATAAAACGAAACCTCTTTAGCTGCAAGTAATGAATTATTATACATTTTCACGACTTGCTGAGAATAATGTGTAACCATTCTTTACACAAATAAAATAATAAATAATTGTAATATCTTACTTTTTCAAACGATTCTTTACTGTTCACATTGAAACACCCTAGATTACTTAGTTATTTATTCGTAAAGGTTTTAAATTGATTTATATTAGGTTAAAGAAATCTATGTCCAAACTATTCACAATAATATATTTATATATCTTAAGTTTGTGACTATAATGCTGTAGTAATTTTTACGCCACACTACATTATTTTGACGAACTTCCCACGCAAGGATTTAGTCCAGAAAACAGCTGTTTGCCGCCAGCTTATTCAAATGGGGTTTCATTGCGTACTACTGTACTGCAATGAGTTTTACCGGACACCAATCAGCTGATTATACACTGTATTTAGATGGCAGTGAGTGGTTATAAACAAAAACATAACCTCTATATGACTAGTGATTGTTAGACTTTTAGTTGGTGGAAATATATAAGGATTTGTACGGATTTAGTAGTATGGCGTAAACTATCGTACGTAACTCGTCCAAAATGTGTGTACCGGACTCGTATGGTAGGTAATCCCGTACTCGACTTCGTCTCGCACGGGAACGACTACACTCGTCCGGTAAACACTTATTTTCAGGACTAGTAACGTAATATACTATTACACTCGTTGTGAGCTTATTCCATTCCAAAGGATCTCATTTTGGTTGTATTATTCACAATTTAAACTAATAACTGGACCAAAGGTATGACTAAATTAGGGAGAATAAATTCAATTATGAAATAGCATCCGTATGCCAGGAGCGTTGCATAAACTTCGTTATCCATTAAAAGTTTTCAAATATACAAACCGCAAACGAGTAGTGGCTATAGGGAAGTATTAAATGGTGTGGATTGTATGAAGTCGACATGCTGAATGTATACCCTTATATTTAAACAAAAACTTTTAATAACTAATACTATTACTCTGTCTGTTCAAACACAATAGGATAGTATTTTTCTTATGCGCCTTTATTGTCAATTTATGTTACTTCATATGAAACTCTGTGCAACTTCTTTGCCATAAGATAACTTTAAAATAATTTAATTAATAGTTAAGAAAATCTTTACACAGTGGTGTAACACATGTAAGCGGTGAAAACAGGAGGTTTATTACAAATATTTCATCGCACCTACCTTTTAATGAGAAAATTAAAATTTTTAGTACGTGTTTAAAGGTTTAAAATTGCTCAAAAATAAGCTTTTAATGTTGGACAGTTAAAAGAGATCAATACAAATCAATAACTCAACAAAAAACAAATCAATAAATAACAAATCAATAAATCAATAAGAGTGATGAATACAAATCAATACCCCCGCCGCAGCAAACCTGCAGACTAAGCGAATTTCCATTTGCCTGAATGGATTTACACTAAAATGTCTACTTAAAAATTTAACATTTATTTCCTAATTAAATAGAATAAGTTTAACAGGTACTTAGGTTTGCTGCATCAGGGAGGATAAAACTGCTTTTTTTGTAAAATGTTAATAGTTAGTAAGTAAGAAATAAAAACATTTTCCAAATTTGATCAAAATATGTTCATAAAAAAGCAAACTACAACAGTTTACTTGTTCTCCATAAGAATAACATGGGAATTTAAAATTTACATTTTTTTTTAATTTTCTCCGTAACCATTAGGCGCATAGTAACACTTCAATATACTAAATTATTTGTTTTTTTAAGCTCTACAAAATGGTTTGGAAAGAAATTGCTAAATTTTATGTTTTTTGGGTCAAAAATGGGAAAAATCTATTTTTACCCTATAAAACCCCCGTTCCCATGTCCGATTTTGCCGGTTCGCGAACTCGTTCGAATAAACGTATGTTTAAACGTTTGTACCTAAAGTCATTAAAATCAGATAATTTTTGCGCACGAGTTATCGTGCTAACGGACATATTACATGAGGCATACGGTAATACCTTATTCCCTATATGGGAAATTCGCTATATGGGTAGTGTTTTACGCAATCAAAGACATATAAAACTCACGTAAGGCTGTCCAGAGACGTGGATCCGTTCCTCCCATTCCAACAGGATCTCCACAGCTTCAACATACTCCTCCTTGATGGCGTGAAGTAAAGAGTCCTGAAACGGAACACGTATAAGGATAGACGATAAACGACTATGTATAGTAGGTCAGGGTGAGGTTGGCTATTAATTTGTATCATAAATTAGATAATATTAAATTAAAGTTTGTGTTATTCCGAACTTACAGCTCTTAATGTTTGACGATGTTAAAGAACAGACCAGCGTTTCAAAAATCAATCAATTATAAGTCTTGCCTTATCAACAATTATTATTACAGGTTTATTCATAACGTATGTAAGACAATACATACACCTATTTTGCCTTGTAAAGTTTGAGTAACACGAAAGGCTACTACCAATTTGACATATTACCCAATATGTCAACGTGGCCGACATTTTCTGGGTAGGTGGTGCGGAAACGAAGGCAAAGGTTCAGTGTTTATAAAACTTATTAGCTCTTGATCAACATAGAATACACCTTCTTTATTTTCTATCTGATTTCGCCTTTACAACCTTTCAGTATGACCTAGAGAAATGTTTGCTTATTTTATTTTATTTGAACGAACGAACTCGAATAGAAATCTTTTATGTTGTCTAATAAATTAGAAACTGAAGGTCCTATGTCTTAATAACTTAATAATTGTACTTGACGTTGGTTTTGGAATGATTGACATCAGATATTCTGTAAATTATTTTGTTTCGAGAAAAGCTCAAGCTCAAATTTAATGATAATACTGATTGGTATTGCTATTTGGGGAGTTCGTTTCATTTAAAACACATTTATAATTATGATAGGTATGTAATTTTGAAAATATTATTTAACCTTAAACACACAAATTCAAAACTAGCTTACAGTAAAAAGAGTTGCAAAAAAGCTCATATGTGACGTGAAATTAATGTTTCGAATGATTTACTATAACTCCATAAAGTCGCTAAGCAAATAATACTAACGTTTTAACTAATTCTTGTCTCTAAATAATTACAAAGATCTACAGGTCAATCATAACTACTAATTCTGAATGTTGTCTAGATTGAAGGAGCAATAGATAAAATGAAGTATGGCATTTACCGAGGAGGTCAAACAACAGCATAAACAAGTTCTAGAATGAAACCCGTAAGGGAAGGTAACCTATAGGAAGATTGGAAATACAATGTTGCCCGGGATAAGGACGGTAGAGAAAAAAGATATCAAAGGAGAAAAAATCTGCAGGTAATCGATATGTCTATATTTCTTATAGAAGAAATCTAAGAATAGACTTGACAAGGACGATGGAGAGAGAATGACGTCAGAGAAGAAAGAAAGACTAACAACAAAATAAAAAAATAAAAAAAAACATCTTAAGGAACAAAGAAAGACTAACAAAGGCAACAAAAAGCATTGCCGAATAGACGTAGAGTGGAACCAGAAGAGATCTTGGATGAGACGAATCCCATAAGAACATAGGAGAGGAGGATGGTTGGAAATATATATCACAGAATGTTCTTGAGAAAAGGTTAAGGCTATAGTGCAGAACAGGATGAAGTCAAATCTAGCATTCCACTTTCTTCTTGTAGACGAAGAAGTCTTAGAAACTTTCTGTTATGAAATAGAAGAGGTTGAACCAGAAAGGTAATGAATTAACAGCTGTTCAGTAAAAAAAAATGATTAAGCTACTACCTTTCTACTACTAAGCTCACCTTGACTTTGATGTTGTAGTCTAGCAGAAGCCTAATCAGGTCGATGTTTTCATTCTCAATGGCGGCGATCAGTGCTGATCTGTTCAGGGGATCCACACAGTTGATGTTTAGCAATTCAGGATGGTCTTTGTTCTCGTCCAGAAGTCTGCAAATAAGTTCATATTTATTCCTGGCTCAGTATAAAAGTTGCTTGTTTTAGTTCTCGCTAAAACAGTCGCGATTCGAAAGTAATATGAACATCAACGATTACACCGATGCCAACCACAATAACGCTACTTTCCCTGTAGGGAATACGTGTAAATCGAAGGCAAATACGCCTGAGTTGATTAATGAGAAGTATTTAATGCAAAAGATATCATGCTTGAATGAGGATAATATTTCGGATTTTAACCTCCCTGGGGTAAATAAAATGCTACGGAATTAAATGCTTTCTACAAAATTACGAAACAATTTGTTATTTGAAATTTGTTTTTATTTTAATAACAAGAACAAAAAAAATCACGATGGATTATAAACAACAAATTGTTAACTACAGTTATTCTTACTAGTCATACAATATTAAAATAACTAATATCTGAATTAAGGATAACGTACATTTTTTTCTGAGCTACACTTCTTGACAAACAATAACACTTTCTATGCATTTTGTACACCAATAGATTTCAATTGTGAGGTAAAGGATTAGAACACATTACAATTAAGCAATAATACCGGTAAGTAAATAAACCCCAAACGAGTATTATTTAAAACTAATATCAATAAATAATCATAAATTACTAACTAATAAAAATGCAATAGTGAATAGTTTTTTTGTCATTTATATTTGTATGCTTTAAATTATTATTAAGATATACATTTCTAAGACGTTTTAAGAACAATAGTGTTCACAACAATGACTTTCAAACCCTTTAATTTAACGAGCAACCTTTGCCTTTATTCGTAATTTCCTTCTTATCTTCTTGCTCAAGAAACACGGTATTGTGGTGTTTTTTGTCTTTCAACCATTAATGAGAGATTAGTGGTAATAAGTTCGTGGTTAAAAAATGTATTTGTCTTTGGTAAAACTATACATTCTTTTTATATTAATAGTTTGTGGTAAAAGCATACGGTTGTTAATTTGTTTTCTTCATTTAACCATTGATAAGAGTGATATGGTTTAAGTGTATATACTTAAAAACTGTTTTGTTTATAGATAAACTTAAACATATTATCATACAAACGATAAATTATTTATTTACATTTGACAGTAGTAATAAGGCTTTCTAAGACACACCTATCTACCAAAACCCATATTATGAAATTTGTCATCAATAAATCCGACGATTATAATGTTCAAGATTAAAGCACCTTCTTAAAACTTGTTTTTGAATTCTTTACGCTAACATCTCTTCTGCAATACGAGTTGTTTACCTAAAAAGTTCAATGCCAAATACTTTGAATACTAAATTAATTGGGTATTAATTTTAGTATTAAATATTTCACTATGCAAGTCTATGAAGGAACCGTTACATAATGTATGTAAATGTATTGTTAATCTTATCATAGACTAACCAACTAATCTTATCATAGACTAACCAACTGTTTTATCTATGATATTATTTACCACGTGTATAATAAAAAAATACAACAAAATTACAACTGATATAACCTTTTTTTTTTAATATGTTTTATATTCTAATTAAATGTTTCTATACAATTTTAAAATTCATATAAATAAATAATAGTTTTCAACATAAAAATGAGCTTACAGCAGTCATATTGTTAATTTACAGAACACCCTTTAAGATTTGTCTATAATTTGTAACAACATTAATAATGTTAAAATACACATTTCCCCCTTGAGCAATAATGGTTTGAAAAATTATCACTATGGGAATCATAGTTTTAATGTCTATATAAACATGATTTATCAAACATTCTGGCCAGCCTGAGGCACTTTGAATACTTCGACAACATAATGCATGGAGCCCTCGAGACATCGTTCCAACTTTTAGTTCCTATCTACATTTAAATATAAAAACCACAACTTTATCTGTAAATATACTATGCATGGATAACTAGCGTTTTACTTAATATAAAAATACTGTAATAAATTCACCGTAGAAAAGAATAGAATGGACCAATTTGTTTTATTTTATGTTCTTTTTCAATGGTTTTTGTAAATATATTTATGGATTTCCCCAGATGACCTTCACCAGCTTGGGAATTTCCTCAGATGGCATTCACCACCTTGAAGTTTTCCCAAGATGACGTTAACCAGTTGGGAGATTTCCCTATATGACATTTATCAGCTAGGGGATGACCCCAGATGAAGTTCACCAGTTTGGAGATTTTTCCTTATGATTTTCGCCAGCAAGGGATATTTTCCCAGATGATAGTAACCAGCTTGGAAATTTCCCCAGATGACTATCACCTTGAAGATTTACCCAGATGACGGTCACCAGCTAGGGGATGACCCCAGATGAAGCTAACCGGTTTTTAGATTTCTCAGATGAAGTTCGCCAGCAAGGGAGATTTCCCCAGATGACGTTCGCCAGCAAGGGAGATTTCCCCAGATGACGTTCGCTAGCAAGGGAGATTTCCCCATATGTCGTTCGCTAGCAAGGGAGATTTCCCCAGATGTAGTTCGCTAGCAAGGGAGATTTCCCCAGATGTAGTTCGCTAGCAAGGGAGATATCCCCAGATGAAGTTCGCTAGCAAGGGTGATTTCCCCAGATGACGTTCGCTAGCAAGGGACATTTCCCTAGATGAAGTTCGCTAGCAAGGGAGATTTCCCCAGATGACGTTCGCTAGCAAGGGAGATTTCCCCAGATGTCGTTCGCTAGCAAGGGAGATTTCCCCAGATGACGTTCGCTAGCAAGGGAGATTTCCCCAGATTACTGTCACCACCTTGAAGTATTCCCAAGATGACTTTAACCAGTTATGGGATTTCCTCAGATGGCATTCACCAGCTAGATTTTACCTTTTTTGCTCTCTAGATTTTTTAACTAGTTAGAAAAGAATCCAGCTAATCCTGGCATATACATTAAACCCACTAATAGTTACCGAGAAAAGCGTCTGTTCGCTAACAAATACTTATTTGAACAACAAAAAACTCTTACACATCAATGTGTATTTTATTTTGTGATATCATGCCTAATTGGGAACCTTACTAACGACTTTTCACTGCAACTGAACTCTTGTGTGGTTTGGAACTTGCCACTATTGATTGAAAAACATTTGCTGACCAAATGAAACCTTTGAACTGATTGTAGTCGGTTACGGTATGTTCGCTTGTTCATGGTAAATGTGGGAGGCATTTAATTGCTTGTCTTACTAATGTGGGAAACCCTGTTTTGAATACACTTAACAAATATTATTATATGACATCACCTTATTTTTTTCTAATTTCCTACGCTCAGTAAAGATTTTTTTTAACGTAGTGTATTTTGTTAAAATTAAAGAAGCATGTATTACTTTGAATTCGGATTACTCTATTTTCAAAGTTAAACTGTAAACATTATAGTCTAAGACTACTTAATTTCCTTTCATTATAAATAAATAGTAACAATTAACCTCAGATTGAATCTCAAGGTGGTTTATTACCGAAGCAACAACGTATGAAAATACGCTAAGAGTAAACAACAAAAGGCAATCCGTGTCGTATACATTCTCCTGGGTAATATAAACTTGTTTGCATTCAAATGCTAAGTCCATATGAATATAGAGTAGCAAAAAGAATAAAAAATTCATGATTTAGAGTTTTAATTTTAAATATAAAAAAAGAACAGAGAAGCAGGGGAAAAAGAACTTAGCAATTTTAAATTTTAAAATAGGAATATTTTATCTATTGTAGTGAAAAATCTTCAATATTATTTTGTCTTTCTAGAAAACTGCATGCTTGTGTTCAATGTCTGTATCACAGTTTTGGATGTTAAATGTCTATAGAAACTCGAGCACTTATTTTTGAGGCGAACTTAAGACATCATTCCACATTTGTACGGCTAACCCTTCAAAACAATATGAACGAAGATAGTTTTATGAGATATTTAACAAATATGAAAGTGACATATAGTTTCCTTCTTTGGTAAACATTCTCCGTCAGTTTCACTTCGGGATTGTAACCATTACGTTCATCTTTACATCTTGATAAGACGACAGAAAACAGGTTTAGAAACTGTCCTATGAAATTATTTGAAAGAAATATTTCTTCCAGGACACATGGTTTAAATCCTACTGACCACTAAACTTTTGGATTTGCATGGATTAAACTTACTTCCTTATAGATGCATCATCAATTATCAACTTGGGAAATATTTGCCTTATCTGTATATCCGATGTTGCTAAATTAAAAGCGTACATACACAATTTTATTGCATGTCAAGTGACTTTTAAACTCATCCATCTATGTATCTACACTATTATAAAATTGAGGTTGTGTCTGTCTGGGCAGCTGTCACGACTAAAATAATAACATTATGCTTAGTGTCTCAGGATGACTTATAGAATAAAATGGTTTATATTACAGTACCTGTCCGTCAGTGATCCTATTGTTGTCGTCTTATGCGACCGGTTTCAGGATTAAAATCCCATCATCAGGCTGATAAGTGGGATACCGACGACCTCAACTTGAGTGACATGACATTTTTATCAGCCTGATGATGGGATTTTAATCCTGAAACCGGTCGCATAAGACGACAACAATAGGATCACTGACGGACAGGTAATAAAAACCATTTTATAAAATAATAAACCGATAAAGACAAAATTAAGCAGAAAGATTGATAGTCCACATATCTAGGAATGTCATATATTCAATTCCCTGAGTTCCTTTTGGGCTACGCTCCTTGGATTTCTACGGTTTTGAGGTGAGGTTTCCAAAAGTAAATATTAATATTGGTCTCCATGGAAGCATGAGAAAATTCACAATGTTTACCCTTGCATTGACATTTCAAGGTAAACAAGCAGAACTGCCAAATGTTCCCTTCACAATTTCAGACAGCTGATCCAAAGAAACTAAATATATTTAATTTTACTCAACTATGTAGAAGGATTATTTATGCTAAAACTGTATGATAGATAATTTTATTCTAAATCTATTTCAATAATTACGAAACAGATTTTTCTTCCCGTAGCGAAGCATGGGTTTTGCAGCTAGTTACAAACAATATTAAAAGTAATAATATCTATTGAAAAACATCATAATTTACAGCTATGATTTTTTTTAGTTACATACTGAAATGAATCTTTAGTTACTGTTATTTCTGGTATAATTAAGAGATGTTTTTGCAATTGTGTGAGTTTATTATAACGAGAACTAAAAATATCCCGATGACTCTAAAGTATGTAAAGTTAACATGAATCATTGAACATTGCGATTGCCTGCAGGACTTTGGTTAATTACTGTTCTGAATATAATGAATATGAGCTTCCAGCTAATGAAATGTTTACATACATTTTAAGGTTAAACAGTCCTTTTTGAAATTCAATTTGAAAACAAGGTGATTTACTTGCTGTTTGTTAAAAATGTAGAACTATATTTTTGTGGTTATTGGATTTAGGAGCACGTTTTTTATTATTTTAATGGATTTTATTATAAATGATTTATCGAATTTGTCAGTGTATGGTTGGTTGTATGCTAAAAATATTTTAACAATCTTTTGAAATAATACATCGGTAAATAAAACTCTCTTTATACAAAAAAGATTAACTTGTAAAATCACGTAAATATGTTCACCACAATAAACAAAAACTGAATCAAAACATGAAAAAACAACAATCAAAATGTATAAAAAAAAATTTAATTTACATGTGACCATTACCAGCAATCTGATTGACCCGTTGACTTTCCTAAAATTCTCGTTTATATCTATGAGCTGTGTTTTAAATAAAACTGATAACTTAAGAGTATTTAAAGACCCGAATTGCCTTTTGTTAACTTTTTTCAGCCCAGATTTTACGTTCAAACGGATCGAAAAAAACGAAGACTTAACTATATCTTAACAATTATAGATTGAACGTTATACAAATAATAATTTCTTTTAAAATTAGTCAAGACAATTCCTGTACAGATTTGACAATTGTGCTGCATACATGCAGTATGTATACATCCGTCCTGTGCTCTGCGGTTTACCACATTGCCTGGTCGATCATTCAATTGTTGATTGACTAACATTTGGTGAACGAATGAAACTGATGTTGCCTAATCATTGTTGTCAATGTAACGTTGTAACTGGCACCAGGGTGATTTTAAGTAATTGTAATTGTTATTGAGTGTCCAATAATCGATAGATTGAGCCGTTTAGAAACTCAAAAGGTTTTTGAACTTGTTGATAAATAAGCTACACTTTAGTTTTTTACACATAACATTTTTATCTTTTAAGTTTTACAACTGATCATTATGAAACTTGGTATGTATGTTGAGGTGATAAAGACCCATGTTAGAAAAAAAAAACATCTTGATAAATCATAAAATTTAAAAATGGCGGCCATTTTAATTTGTTAACTTAAATTACTAAAGAATGGCTGATTTTATGAAAAAAACTACAAAAACACTTTTATTTTGGAATTTTTAATTCCCTATCAAACGATACCAAGTTCAAAAAGATCGAATAAGAAATAGCTGAAATATAACGAATTTAATTGTAAAATGGTTTAGAAAAAGGCTAAGCTAGTCAGGTTAGCCCCATTTTACAAAATGCCAAATAAAAATATTGTCATTTTTTCATAAAATCAGCAATTCTTTAGTGATTTAAGTTTAAAAAATTAAAATGGCCATCATTTTTAAATTGGATGATGAATCAAGAGGAACATTTTTCCTAACATGGGTCTATCCTTAACATACTTACCTAGTTTCATAACGATCGGTTGAAAAACTTTGAAGATTAAAATATTACTGTGAAAAAATGGCAAACATCTGGTTAAAGAAGCGATTAAAAATATATATATTCTTGATTTTATGTTTGTTTTGACCCATTTCCTGGAGTTTGGCTTGTTACTTGCGGGACACCCTATTTTTATGTAGATTAAAATTCCAATAATAACGTTGTGGACTGGTAGTTTCATGATTACTAATCAAACCCTAATACTAAGTAGAGTCTGAAGGAGTTTACAGAATGCAGGATTTTTTACCTTGCTAATTACAAAGATAACAATCACCACAATACAAAGAGTTTCTTCAAGTAGAACATTATGCGGAAGTTAACGTTAAAAGGCAAAGTTGCTTATTAAGTACAGAGTTTTTAGAATAAACATTGTCTTTCCTGTTTAATTTTTATTGAGAAACTTAAGTGTTAATGTAAGGTTAACGATTTACACTGCAATAACACTTGTTAGAAAAATAACCTATATTAACCTCGACACATATTGAGATGGATTTATACGATTGGAATTTATTTCTATAGAATATGTTAATAGAAAGAGAGCAGGATCCTCAAGAGAATTGGTTTACAAACAGCAATTAAATAGAAAGCACAGGTTATATCACATACTATCCAAAAACCATTCGATAACCTTGTTCTAATTGTTTTAAATTAGAACTTTTTACAAAACAAAATACGAGTAATTTACCATTGAAAGATTTTTAATACCGCAGGAATTAAACTTTTCAGGAACAATATTAAACTATTATAGGTCAACAGTTCAACTGAGTTCTAAATTAATCAAATTAAATTTATTGTATGACATGGTGCACACCCAAACGAAGGTCTCAACATCGAAGAATTTTATACACTGACTATTATGACCTGAGATAATACTTATTAATTATCTTACACTCTACTGTACCTTTTCACCGACGTGGCATTTTCCTGCGTTGCCAGTTGGACGAACCTTTTCTACGTTGTTGTAGACAGCCTCTTTTCTTACTTTTAACTGTCTAGTAATTTTTTACCTTTACTCTAGAACTACCTTTTGACCGAAGCGACATCTCCCCGCTCCACCAGTAGGAGGAACCTCTTCTCCATCGCGTTAAAGTTGTGGTCAGCCTCCATAAGCAAGATATAACTTACTTGACCTTGTTTCTGCTTACTATCAACTACCTATTAATTTCTAACCTTTACTCTAGAACTACCTTTTGACCGACGCGACATCTCCCCGCTCCACCAGTAGGAGGAACCTCTTCTCCATCTCGTTCAAGTTGTAGTCAGTCTCCATATTTTGCAAGATAACCTACTTGACCTTGTTTCTGCTTACTATCAACTATCTAGTAATTTTTAACCTTTACTCTATACCTACCTTTTGACCGAAGCGACATCTCCCCGCTCCACCAGTAGGAGGAACCTCTTCTCCATCGCGTTTAAGTTGTAGTCAGCCTTCATATTTAGCAAGATATAAACTATTTGACCTTGTTTCTGCTTACTATCAACTGTCTAGTAATTTTTACTCTCTCCCCCTATACCATATGGAGAAAGTATTGTTTTCGTCAAAATTTTCGAGTTTGAGTTTTGAGTGGATATATTCGTTTTGAGTCCCCCTGGACCCAAATAAGTGGTTTTCGAAGTGATGTCTGTGTGTGTGTGTGTGTGTGTCTGTGTGTCTGGATGTGTACAGAGCTAGAGACTATACCTGTGGTCAGATTACGATGAAATTTGTTATGTAGGTTCTAATCCATGGTATCTCCAGGCGTTTTTTCATTTTTTTTAAATTTTGGTTTTTAATGGGGATTTTCCCATAAAAACCCAGAAAAATCGGATTTTTTCAAAAAAGAAAGGCCCGAACGATTTTGATAAAAATTTAGTATGTTATAGTCCTTTATATTCTGAACAAAATGGTACAAATCCGATTTCTGTAAAAATTACGGTTTAAAAGTTATTGTAAATTATGTTATTTTCCCATTAAAACCCCATAAAATAACAGAAAACCTGATTTTCCCAAAATTGGCTCGAACGATTTTGATAAAAATTTAGTATGTTATAGTCCTTTAAGTTCTGAAGAAAATTGTACAAATCCCATTTCCGTATATTTACTCTCACCGCTTACACATGATAAAGGTTGTTGACAAACTTACGGGAGAAAGTATGTGTCAGAATGCTGATACCGTTTATTAACTTTTACTCTAGACCTACCTTTTGACCGAAGCAAAATCTCCCCGTTCCACCAATAGGAGGAACCTCTTCTCCATCGCGTTCAAGTTGTGGTCAGCCTCCATAAGCAAGATATAACTTACTTGACCTTGTTTCTGGTTACTATCAACTATCTAGTAATTTTTAACCCTTACTCTAGAACTACCTTTTGACCGAAGCGACATCTCCCCGCTCCACCAGTAGGAGGAACCTCTTCTCCATCGCGTTCAAGTTGTAGTCCGCCTCCATGTGTAATGATGTTTGACTCTGGTTGACCGAGTCTCTGCTTCCTATCAACTCCTCCCTTGACTCTCCCGGCTTCATAGCCTAAAATAAATCTTATGAAAACTAACAGTATACAAGATATTAATTAGATGCATAAGATATCCTTAAATGAACTTTGTATCCTATAAAATAATTTAGTGTCTTCCTAGTGATGCCTAGCCTCTCACCTAACCGCTTACTAAAATAAATGCTATTTATTCTTAAAATCAATATAAAAATTACTTTTTGATATAAGTTTATCATCAGTGCAATAAAAATATTTATTCACTTAGTTTGCGTGTTGGGTTTTAAATATTATATATAGGGTGTCCCACGAAGAGGTTTAAACGTTTGACTTTATATTTCTTGCCTATTTATAGACCGATGTTTTTGAAACTTTGCATAATTTATTAAATATGTTTTAAAACTATTCTGGGAAAATTTCAGCTCCCTAATCCTCGTAGAAACAAAATGGTGGCATATTGAATGTTTTTTATTAACTAATCATATTAAATTAATTAATTTATTATTATTTATTAACTAGTGATAGATCACGGTTTGATAATTTTGGACTCTACTTTTAAGTTTTTCATCAGGCTATGTTCGAATTTCCTTATTAAAAAGCATTATTTCCCTAGGATGTGATAATACAAATATTTTACAAAACCAAAAACACTATTAGGCCTATAATTTGTTTAAAGCATCATTTTTTCAATATACCGTCATTTTGTTTCACGAGGGTTAGGGAGCTGAAATTTTCCCAGGACATTTTTTAAACCTACTTTATAAATTGTGTAAAGTTTCAAAATGTTCTGAGCATAAATGGGCAAGTAATTTTAAATCAAACTTTTAAACCCCTTCGTGGGACACTCTGTATACATATGTATATGTATCTGGACACTATATGTATTACATGCAAACATGTAAAGTAAATGTTATGTAATTAAACTATAACTAGGCCAAAAGGGAAAATACTAGTCATTTACTCTTCGTCAAATCTTTTCATGACAGAACATAATTGAAGTTTAGGCATGCCCTGCTTTCTTCGCATAAGAATAACATGCGATTCTAATAAACCAGATGCGTTGTATATTTAAGCTTTGTTACTCTATAACTTGTTTTCTTTTCTAACAGCATCAATTAACTACCTGATGAATGTATTTAAACGAAACCTAAATGACACATAAAATTAAATGCAAACTACATAATTTAAATAATTAATTTTAACCTCTTAATGTATAACATTAAAAATTGTTTTAAACAAATGATTTGGCATTTCAATTTCAATTATAATTTGAAATTATTTTCTTCATAAGAGTTTATGACATTGCATCATAATCTCAATTCTTTTGAACCAAATTCCTCTATTAAAAAAATTTTAGAAGCAAAAAAACATAGAAGTGGAAACATTTAAATTCGGTTGAAATACAAACCGACAAGTACAATTTAGAACAAACTCTAAATTTCCTCATAATTTTCAACTGAAAATCAAATGTTCTCAAATAGATCAGCTGAATCTGTTTTTGATGCTTAATGCATGATATGCACTAGGTCTGTAGGTAGCGTCTTGAGTATAAGTGGCAGGCCCCGCTGGCAATATTAGTACTGTCCTCATGTTGTATCTCCTGTATAGCAGGCGCTTCAACATCTTGTTTGTATTAGTGTTGCGCTCACTTAAAACAGTTATTTATATAATTATTTGAAAAGAGTTTGTATATTTCATGAACTTCTGGCCACACAAGTACAAAGTTTGTGCATTTTTGTAATAGACTAATTGGTGTTTTATCATAAAAGTATAAAATTTAGTAAAAAAATATTTATAATGTTAATAATAATCTTTGTGTTTCAATTGAAGGGCACGTTTTTTCATATCACAAGTACAATAGAAGTAAATAATAATAAATTTATCTTTTAAATTATACTAATAAATAACAGTACCAAAAATCTAAACAATTCAGTTATAATTAATCTCAACATAGTAGGTAAATGAAACCCTGAAAAATGTATTTGAAGTTTCAATCCCTGTAGTGTATACAATTTGTATAAAAAAATACATTTCTGTCGTGAATAATAAGAATTTAATTTACATATAACACGTTTAAAAATTATATTTATTGGTTTCATATATTTTAAGGAGATATAAACATTATAGCTTACTCAAACAAAGTAAAACACTTAAAGAAATATAATTTTAGTAAAATAAAGAACACAATAAACTCACCATGGTGATTGAAGTTTATTTCAACTTGAACTTTGATTGCTTGTTCATCGGATCGTTTTGACTAGTTTCTAAAAAAAATAGAAAGGTCTTAAGAAACGAAAATGAAATAAGATCCACATTTCTAAATAAGTCTATCTAAACTGTAAACGTTTGAATTTGCAACATAAATAACAGTACAAATCTTCTGAGAGAAAATAATTATTGTGTCACAGAATACGGATAATTTCTTTGGTTATACAATATTTAAAACCTCTCCAAGCTTTTAACATAACCTACCAAACGTAAGCTAAGTCTTTTTAATAGTTTGTATTAAACAATAAGTTAACATTTGTTTACCCCGAGTATTATTGATTGGTGTAAAAATTAAATAGTATTATTATTCACGGTGACCCTTGGTTGGAATATGTCGTTGATCAAATAAAACTATTACCTTATCCAACCTCGGTTGTTGGTATAAAAACGAGTTTCATTCCATAGAACTTCGTCAGGTCATTTAGAATGCAACCAGATCATCAATGTATGTACATTGTGTTATGTCAAAATATTCTTTGAAAGATTGTCACCATCACAATAATATTAACTTGTCATGCTTGTAAAAATAGTGTTATTTATTTATGTGTTTTCTTTGTTTTTCAGAGTTTTATTTAGTCAGTGGCAGTGATAAGAAAGTGCTGGCCAGCCTGTACAGTTCTATAATTTTTTATCCCATTTTAATCATTTTATAAACATGACAAGTTTAAATTGCATTATACATTGATGATGTGGTTGCATACTAAATGACCTGACGAAGTTATAAGGAACAAAACTATCTCTGATACCAACTATGGTTGGTGTAATAATTTATTGCCTGCCATGGTCTTTCTGAATAATTAACTGATACCTACAACATATGTTTTATTCTTTTTTTAAAAATATTGTAAATATTGTCATTGATTGTTCCCTTTGTAAAAATACAGATCAGTTAATAATTGTCCTTGTCTTTAATATTTGTAACAGTTGGATAAAGTAATAATATCAATAAATAGTATTAGGAACAAGTTTCAATACATTAAAAGTCTTAAGTTAACTATGCCTAATATTGATTGCCCAGTTTAAGATACCTTGTTCTCTATATTTTCATGATATTTTAGAACGTTCCATAAAATATTCTAATACGTTTTTTAAGAAATTATGGAAGTTTTTAAGTAAGTTGAATTTATTACTTGATTTCATATAATCATCCATCCCAATTTTTTGTTCAGTAATTATTAAAGTGGATTTAATTGAAGGAAATGATTAATTAATTAATCCGTTTTAGTTTTTTATGTTAAAACTTAATAATTCTTCTATTTTTTTTTAAATTAAAATACTTAGGCTTATAATGGAAATTTTGGTAGGTGAATACAACTGATACAAAGATTTTGTTAAAATATACTGTGTAATCTTTGTAGAAATTATTTTTGTTTTGAAAAATTTTGAAAAACCTTTTGTCGTTGACTATAAAATGTTAAATTCCACAATACTGCTTATATACAGTATATAAGCTATAAATAATGCAGTTTTTAATCATATACACTTTGAGCTAGATTGTGAATAATTTAGTCCATAAGAAGTTTAAAGTTATTTTGAACCAGCACAGTTTCTAAAAGGTCTCATTAAGGTTTTTTGTACATATATATTATACTTGAACTGGCTAAATCCTTAACATGAAAAAATATATCCACAGTGTATAATCAGTCAATGGTCTAAGACAGTATTCAATTAAATTCTTTTTATACTGTTGAATAACTTGTGTTTTGCTACTGCACCCCAACTAGTATGGTAAAATAATTAAAAATAAACACTCATTTAGTTAAAAAAAAGTACGTCCAAACTGTGGAAACGTTTTGTGTTTTTCGAAATAAATGTTACGAGTGTTTTAAATATCTCAATTTTATAGAGTATACTATATAAAAATAAGCAGAATTAGAAATAAGTATAACTGAACGACAAAATTGAATAACTCACAATCGTACATTGCTTACTTAGTAATAAAACTTTGGACTATTTTTCATCGAGAATAATAAAAAAAAAATGTCAGCCACTCCTATGTCTAACTAAATTAACTACGCAATCCATTAAAGGTATTTTTAGTACAAATAATTTTATGAACATGGATTTACAGCTACACGCTTCATTTGATGGGTTAGTTTATTCACAAAACACATCTAGAACAAAGAGTAAATGTAAAAGGTCGAACTTACCATGGGAAGGGTAGACTTAAAAGTGCGGCAACCAACGAGCCAACAATCCCATGTAATCCACTTAGCAGCAGACCTACATACGCGGTCGTCGCGAAAATGTGACCCTTCATCCGCCAAACAAACATGGAAGAGGAGTAGTCGTATAAAAACACACATGATGGAGGCACCAAAGAAACATGTCTTGGAGAGTATTTGAGGTGGCTCTTCTTAAACTAAGATAACTGTTGTTGACTTAAGATGGTAATTGTGTCTAGTTATGTTTGTGCTAAATCCCTTTTGGCATCTAGGGTTCTGTACTTATTTCACAAATTTATTATGATCTCCTGGGGAAAATTGCTTCTAGAAAAATTGCAATTCTAAGTTTAGCAAAGAGTGATAAAAACACATTTTTCATATTACACTATTCTTTAATGACTGTATTTTTTACACAAAACTTAATCCAGCTCTGTGCTTTTTTATTTGCGTTTGTTATTCTTTTGTTTGTTTGTATAGCAAATTAGTTTGTCTTGTACAATTATCAACATTACACATTCGTGGGACAAAGTGACAAATTAAAATCCAAAACTACAAACAATTGCTGTATTAGTATTACAGTGCTGACAGTCTATCTAAAGATGACGTTTTCACATCAAAATCGATTTTACTACAGTTAAAATCACATTGCTGCTGTTCAAAGATTCATATAGAAGTGGCTAATAAAATAAGTTTGTCATAAAAATATAAAATGAAATAGTTATTTTTACCTCAAATAGAGGGTTTTCACTAAGAAATCTCTTACGTTTTCTGATGAAGACGTTTACATTGTTTCTGTCCATTTATCGACCTCAAGCACACTGTCTGTCGAAACTGACAGCTACAGCGGTCTAATAGTGTTTTCCAGGAGCAGAAAAAATCAGACGAAAAAATCAAATGTTTCATCGAGAGAAAAGAGTGGATTTAAGTTGTATACGTTTTTATTTAGATTTCATAGAGCTATAAACACTTGAAAATTTGTTGTTCTTGTCTTCCCAAACTCCCCTCTCACTACTTCATAACCTAAATCTCCTATAATGTACTTTGTTTTACACAAAGGCTTATGAGGTTTGTTAGATATATTAAAAATTTCCTGTCTGCTCATAAAGAATTTCTAACTATATTAAACCTTGTATTATTTCATAACAAAAGTGTTATATCAATCTAAACATCTTTTACACTCATTGTTTAGTTAATTACTGCTATAAAGTATGTATGAAACGTAATGAACTAAAACTAGTTTGATGTCTTAAATTAATTCGAAATATAATTTAGAGATAAGTAAAAAATACATGTTCTCCCCTGTACATAAATGCTCAGAAGCAATTTTTGTTCAAACGTTCAATGAATTTTCCATACGAGCAAAAAATATTGCAACTTAATCTTTAATATTACTCTCTTCTAATTTTCACGTTGATTTATTTTGGAGAAATTTCAACGATTGTTAAGAGTAAGATGAATGTTACTCCTGTCAGATCTGACTTGAGAGGACCGCCAACTGTTTCTTACCCAATCATCAATTAGTGCCTTCATCATTAACCAAATGGACTTACAATCCTATTGCGAATTTTGGACTCAAATACCGAAATAAAAATAATAATAAATTATTGTAACAAATCACTTACAACTTACTTGCAACTTACTTAGTTTTAGTGAACTTACTTAAGTTGTTATTGTTGTATTATTGTTGTTTGTATTGTTGTATATAAATTATTGTGGTTTATATATTTATGCCTCAAATTGACCCAATAATTAAACTCTCGGAAATTTTATTTGAGAAGGTTGCAGATGATGCACAAAAGCTCCTCTATCAACTAAAACCAACGGATTTTATTCCCTAAGTACATAATGCCACCCTTTATGAATAATAGCCTAAAGTGTTTAAAACTATCCGGCTAAAGCCTCCTATGATATGAAGGGACTCTATATGTTAAGGGATTTGTTACAGAGGTCTATCAGTACAAAAACATTAGCAACAGATATACAAGCTAACCCTCACAATTCAACAGCATTGGCTGAAGCCTTCCAATGCTGTAACAGGCTCTAGTAGACCTTCTGGTTAGCTTCATTGATCTAACAAAAACCACTCACTCACAGAGTAAATAATGCGTTGCAAATATTTGAAATATTCTAAAAAATTGCATCTGGTTCATAACTTGAGTATTTTGATGTGCAATAGTTGGTTAAATAGTAATTATTTGATTTAATATAAAGCTTGACAAACATTTTTTTAAGGTTTTAATTTAGGTATATTTATAATAAATCATGTAAATAAGTAAGTTAAAATTAAAAATTTCAATAAACACACTTTACTGCTTATTTGTAGTTTAATACAAGAAAATAATATAAATGTTAAGTAATAATAATTAAAATATTACAACACCTTTGATTGAATCAAAACTTAAAATCTAAGCAAATATGCAATTGAAATATTCAGTATTTGCACTACGATTATTGTTTCTGTAGGACTCTTAACTTGACAAATATCTAAAGAATTTATCTTCAAAGAAATTTCATTTTTTTACTAAGTGAGACGTTTTAAACACATCAATCATTATTTTACTTTAATTCTACTCTGTATCCGAAGCAAGGTTCAAGTTCTTATGTAACAAATTATTAATGCAATACAATATCATGTATAAGCTAAGTTTTTAATTAAATGAGCCTGAAATCCTGCTCAAAGGAATATTGTTTGTTTTGTTTCTTTACCTAACACGAATTCCAGTATCAACACAATCTGTGTACAAAATGAGGATACATAAATTGTTTTGTCTTGTTTCTTTGTTATAGAACTTTGTCCTTGGCTTGACTGTTTCGCATATTAAATTAAAATAATCTTCATACTGTTCAAATTTGACATCTGTTAATGTGTAGTCGAAAACATAAAAAAAAACATGTTTGTGAATAGACACACTAATATATCATTCAATATTATCTTTGAACTCTATTAAAAGTATCTTTCCCCTTCTCTTACTGTACAAATTTTTATTTGGTAAATTTAAAATGGAACGATGGCGATCCTATTGTTACAGTTGTGATCATCGCCCAATCGGATAGTCTGTGGCCGATCCATTTCTGTCAACACAGAATCAAAACTTTCAGAACATATAGTTTACGACAACAGTAGTATCAATAGTAGTAACAAAAATATGGATGTTTTATTAACATACGAAAAATCAAACTTTATGACAACTATGGAAGAACTGCACATTTACAATGCATTTACAACTAAACACCACACCTTTCCAAATGCTCCCAATTTTAACTCGAATTTGAGTGATGATTTGTATAAATTGAACAGATAGGTTGTAGCATTGCACTTTTTGCAAGAACCATTTAATGTAAGATCAGAGAACTTGTTATTGGAAGGTAATTCACTGAGCAAAGCTCGGTCCTCTTGTGGTATTATTGTCTAGCTAAACTGCTAAGCTAGAGGTTGGGTAATATAAGCTTGAAGCCCCAAGTGTATCACATTCAATAAGTCAACTGTTGCATTATCACTCTTGACAAGGGTGTACAGGGTGTCTCTAAATGAAGTGTTTCAATTGGTTTTCCACCAACCTTACCCTTATAAATGATAAATCAAATTAAAGAGGAACTGAAATGCTTATACAATCCGTAAAGTTGTACATGTCAACGATATTTTATGCAGGACACGAATCAAAATAAGTCGCAATCATTCTTGAGTGCTAAGCCCTCCACACAAGTCCTTTTTTTATCAGGAAATATGTTCAGTGCAATTTTATAAATTTTCTTATTTTTAAATTGATTCATGATCATACTTGGTATTTTAGTAATTGCTTAATCTAGCCAACCTACAATTAGGACTTTTCAATAATTATTTGGAAGTTCAGTCTCATCCAAAAGTATTTCAGAAATAAACCTATACATCTTTACGGTTGTGATATGAATATTTTTAACCACATGACTGAATATTATTGTAGGTTAAGTGAGATCCAATAATTATACTTTTTACAAATTTAGTGACTAAGACTTAAAACACTTTAGAAGCTTGCCTCCGGATTACGTTGAATATATTAAATTGGTGTAAATACCTGCTTCGTAGTAATCCTACTGTATTGCATATTGACAATAGGATTACCACGAAGCAGGTATTTACACCAATTTAATACTTAAAACACCCTACCATAAAACACATGCAAAAGCAAATAGTCAGTAGTAAATCGTGAGTTTGGAAAATATCAAGCTTTTGGTTATAAATAGAAGAAACCTTTGAGTCAATTTTATATTTTTTACAGTTTTTTCACGCGACTACTGTCTGTGAGTCAACAACGTTTTGTCAGTATAGTTCAATAGACTACAAAAGACACTAAAGATTTTAATGAACATGCACTCGTCATAAGGCTTTCAGAGTGTTTTTCACAGTTGACCTTTTATGCGCCCAGCTTCAATTGAATGATTTTCAAGCAAATGAAGACCTTACAATCACATTTCTACCCAAACATGTTGGAAAACGCAAAAATTCCTAGGACAAATAAATGTGTCCATATTGAAATAGGTGGTAGGCCTACCAATAAAATTTTAACATCGCAATACTATTAGCCTACCACTGTAAAATGTATAACACGTTTAATAATAATTAAAATAATCGATTTAGTAGAGTCTTGTAGCGTAAAAATATTTCCAACTCATAAGTTAATTATTTTTTATTACTTTTAATTACAGTGCGAAAACCCTTAACATAATGAGTATCATTAATAAACTATGGGGTCTTTGGCTGAATTATTTTTAGAGTAGAATATATTTACCTAATTCCAATCTGTTTGAAAAGACAGTTAAATTGTTTATTTGTACTCAAGACAAAGCTGTGATAAGAGCTACCAATAACTTGCTACACGGTCCAAGCCAGGGTTCCCGACGACAAAGTAACAGTTGTAGCCCTCTTTTGGAACGGAAAATTGATAGACGAAAAAGTCATTGTGTTGAATAATAAGGTCGAAGCTTTTGAAGTCAGTAAAGTTTCTTAAGCTAGTGAGTTTAGGATGAGTAAA